GTAAATTTTTTTATCCCTACGACATTGTGACGTCATGTAACACCGTCAGATTGCATAGCTCATATATAGCACGGTAGGTAGATAGAAGCTTTCACCAAATTAAAGATCATCGGCCCTTTTAAATTATTGGTGTACGTGGACGGTTGCTTGTGGAAAATGATCGAGCATAAGGTCGAGATAGTTGAATAAAACTTTTTGAATTTCATGGTGTAAAAGGAATTTGATGTGTTGACTTGGAACAAAACCCCGCAAATATTCAATGAATCACACTTTTTTTAATTATCATTATTAAAGCAATTTGTTGTTACATATAGTATAGCTCATCACTGTGCTTGTAAAATTGGAGAAAATTCTACCTCAACAATTATTTTTATACAAGTAATATTGAGGAGAGAGGATTCGATTGAACACATAATTTCGAGTGAATGAATAGCTACTCTTAACTACTGAAGCTACAAGCTCTTTGTTATGCATGTATTAACAATATTATAATAAGAAACTTTGACTATTATTTTTTTCCCTACGACATTGTGACGTCATGTAACACCATCACCATTGCATAGCCCATATAGCAGGGTAGGTAGATAGAAGCTTTCACCAAGTTAAAGACCATCGGCCCTTTTTCATCACAAAAAACAAACCCAAAGAAAAAAAAAAAAGGACCATCGGCCCTTTTAAATGATTGGGGCCTGCAACTGCAGTTAATTAATTTGTTGTTACATATATAGCTCATCATTGTGCAAGTAAAATAGGAGAAAATTCTACCTCAAACTATCTGCATTGAGCTTTTACACAGTCTACTACCAAAATGCAAAACAAGCTTAGAGGTGTGTTTTAATCAAGGATTAAAATATCGGCCGTGCAGATAATATCGGGCCTCCAATTTACAGATATTTTGGGGGATATATCGTTATCGTTTTAGGTATCGGGAAAAAATCAACAAAAAAGACAGATATAAGCATTGAAACACATAATTTTGGTGTAAAACTTTCATAGATGTTATATACATTATCAATGAATGTATTGAACAAATAAAACTGAAAATTTACTAATAATAAGACATACATTGATGAAATATAAGTGGTATATAATGCGAATTAATGAAAAGTTTGAAAATAAAATTTTGATTAGAATGAATAAACCATGCATAAATCCATAGTTTGTTTAAACATTAGATTACAATTTAGATAAGTGTCCACCTACATAAATGAAGAGATCTTATGAGGTTCAAACAATGAGAAACAACCATCCAGATTCATACAATAGTCATACCAAGTCATATAACCCGAGCAGTTTGTAAGCCATGTTAAAACATAGGGCACATAAGTCTCTCTCGAGCTACCTATTGTCCTCCCATATATGGGATAGTTAGGATTAACCCAACTAGTAGGTCCATAATCTGTTTCATCATCTTGAGCTTCATAACTAGTTCCACTATAATCAGACATGACATAACCATAGCCATCATAAGATTCATTTGAGTTAGTACTAGGTCTAGTTTCTATGCTTATAGATCCAAAATTGTTCCCCATGTCCTCTTCAGATGGATTGAAGGTATGTGGCAAGTGGACTGTGCATAGATTCTTCATATTAATAAATTATAGGGTTCTGGGCAAGGATTGGCAATTTTTGAGTTTCAATTTGCTTCAATTGCCTTCAAAACTTTTGAATTTTTTTTGGGTTCTGTTATGGGTATCGGGGAATATCGGGGATATCGGCAAAATATCGAAAATATCGAACTTATTGGGGGATATATCGTCGATACAGGGGAAGATATGGCCTTACCCCCCAGTATCGGTGTCGATAGTTGAAAATATCGATATATCGGAAGATATATCGGTGTATCAGCCGATATTTTAATCCTTGGTTTTAATCACTTCCATAATAGGAGAAAAACAAAGGAAAACATGGGAAAAGAGCTTGCATTGCATGCCTCAGGTTTTCTTTCTTTGGAATGCGCAACTGGATCTAAAGAACCAAAAAGAAAAATTAAAAAAAGAAGTATAAATGTTAGGTCTGTGTCGCTGTTTGTCTTATTCTTGTCATGTCAACCTAAGTCCATGTGCTGGTCTGCCCCATATGTGTTTATAGCGAGGAAGAGGCACCATATAACTGCCATTCTAATTTGCAAAAGCCAATCATCTGAATGGTAATTGCCAAATGACCTCTGTCATTTCATTTTTCTTCTCTTCCATGATTTAAGTACCTAAAAGTAAAAACAATAGAATTTTAGTGCTTTAAATCATTATAATGCATTGATGAAAAACTATGTCGACAATCAATTAAACACATCCTACTCCTAATAAACAATCCAAGAAATCATATTTTTCCCAGGAATTTGTGTATTTCTTATGTAGCCAACTTGACATGACACACTCACTCACACTATTATTCACAATAAAACACACACCACCAACTCATGAGCCACAAAATATATGAATCACCTTATTCTGCCTCTATCTTGCTAGTGAAGTCCTCACCTTCACGAGTTGAATAAAATGAGATCAATAAAATGAAGATAGTTACTCCCATTGCAAAAGAAGAGGAAATAAATTATATAGCAATATTTGTCACACCCTGACTCTATTTAATTTTCCAATTCAAAAGGTTAAAAATTAAATTAACTGTGAAATTACGAAACTACCCTTGGGGTAGGGTATTTCAGTCATTTTTTTGTCCGGAAGGATTTTGGGACCACAAGTGGTTTGGTTGCGTAGGTGGTTCTAAGATGAATTCGTAGACAGGCGGTAGGCTTGAATCAGAGTTATAACGAGGTCTCGGCGAAAACAATCCAACCGGAGATCATTTGACTAGTCTACATGGCAGAGTCATTCCTCAATTCACCATGTGGCTAGGGAACGAGCCATCCAACTGGGGGACTAACTCTTAGCCAGCACGTACAGCCGAGACTTTTAAAGCTTGTACGTCTGAAAACCAGTTCTACGCGCGCAGACTACCACCCCTCAGGGTCCACGAACCCCTTGCAAGGGCGTCCGAGTTCCAGCAAATGCCGCTGTCTCATATTCAACTCCCTCTGAGTGAAAAAGTACTTGAGGCTCTTATGATCAGTGAAAATCTGACACGTCTCACCATACATACGTACCTTCCCTGGTTACTATTCACACACGTGCCGTGTTTCGGGCGTGTGGGCTTTCTTGGTCACGGATCCTGGAACTGTGGGATGCCAGAAAATTATGATATGGTTTGGATATGTTGGAACTCGGACGCCCTTGCAAGGGGTTCGTGGACCCTCAGGGGTGGTAGTCTGCGCGTGTAGGACTGGTTTTCAGACGTACAAGCTTTAAGAGTCTCGGTTGTACACGCTGGCTAAGAGTTAGTCCCCCAGTTGGAGGGCTCGTTCCCTAGCCACATGGTGAATTGAGGAATGGCTCTGCCATGTGGACTAGTCAAACGATCCCCGGTTGGATTGTTTTCCCCAGTACATGATGTGCAACATCATATGTACCTCCCCTTGGATACTGATACATGGAAATGGTGTATATGGTCTGGATATGACGGAACCCGAGGTATCCTTGACGGGATGTTGCTGTAGACCCTTAATTGGGTAGTCTGCGCACGTAGGATTGGTTTTCAGGCCTACGAGCTTCGAGGGTCTCAGCTATACGTGCTGGTTTAGAGTTAGTCCCCCAGTTGGACGGCTCATTCCCTAGCCACATGGTTGTTGAGGATTCCTCCATGTGGTCTAGTCAAACGATCCCTGAATTGGATTGTTTTCCCCTGGTTAGGTCCAATATAACGAGGGCTTAACTTCCCGCATTTACCGAACCTCATCACACCCTTCCAAGGAGATAGCTTCAAGAACACCCAATCCCCAACTGCAAACTCAAGATCCTTGGACCTGTTGTCCGCATAACTTTTCTGTCAGTCTTGTGCGGTTTTCAACTTCTCTCTAATCATTTTCACCTTCTCAGTTGTGGCTCGGATACTATCTACCTTTTCCAACTTCCTTTCACCCAGGGAAGAAATTGATGTGTTCGTTGTGTTTTGTCGAATTGGAATTATGATAGATCTGAAATGTATTGTTGGTTGTTTTCTAAATAATTGTATATTATCGGAGTCGTGACCGTTGACATGAAAACTACGTGTGGCTTGATCCCTTGTCCAAGGGTACATAGGCAGCCTGGGGTCTCATCAGTTGCAGCCGTGAAATATTATTGTGTTTAAAAGGTTTGATCGATTTGGAATGTGTGATTGTATCCTTGATGTGGTTAATGGATTTGAATCCGGTCTAATGATTTTGGGGGTAATTGTATAATTATTTGAGCATTGATTTTGAGGTGGTTATTGGAAATTGGATCACCCACATACTAATGGACAGTCGGAAAGAACCATTCAGACCTTGGAAGACATGTTGAGGTCTTGTGTTTTACAACTGAAAGAGAATGGCACCAGCAGAGTTGTGTGAGTTGAAGACTCAATTGCAGGAGTTGGTGGATCTTAGGTTCATTCGACCTAGTGTTTCCCCTTGGGGTGCACCGGGATTATTTGTAAAGAAGAAGGATGGAAGCATGAGGCTGAGAGAGGAAGATGATGATTACAATTCGGTAAAAATGATCCTTTCAACTCCCTCTGACTGAAAAAGTACTTGAATGAATTCTATTCCTCAGTTAAATGCTTGTCTATTCCTCAGTTAAAACTTGAATGAATTCTATTAAACAGTGTGTGTGGTTCGGATAGGTCTGAGGACTTTTTCGAAGTAAATGATTGATTTTAGATTTGTATAACTGCTAGTGCTGAGTTGGATCCTAGTCATGGATTTTTATTTATACAAATTGGGTATTATTTATAAGAACAAAAAGTGAAGGGTTTTAGGTATGGAAAATTGAATTTGAAGGGTGTAAGCCAAATTTACTAAAGACAAAAAGAGGTACCTACAATATCTTCTTCGTCGGAATGAGGTTAGCTTCGAGTGTTATGTAGAGAAAATAAAGGCCCAAGAAAAGGAACTCCGTGGTTGTTATGGAAACGCTAATCACCGGATGAGTAGCGATCAGTTTGTAAGTATCATTCTAGTTGATGCTGCCTTTGTCATTGAGCTCTTAGTAAGGTATTTCGAAGACTCGCCATCTGATAATGACAGGATATTTAAAAATCCATGGATGTTAACAACTATAGTGCCCGACATGCTTTTGCTCGAAAATCAGCTGCCATTTTTCATTCTTGAGGATCTTTTCGACGCAAGCAAAGTCAGAGTTAAGAATTCTGAGACTGAGAGGCCTTCAATGATTAAGCTCTCTTACCATTTCTTCAAAAATGTAGTGGGTTTACAGAGGTCGGAAGACCAATTGAACCACCTTTACAGAGGTCGGACATTTCCTCCTTTACATTTTGTTGATTTTATTAGAACTTTACATCTGCAATATTTGGATACCTCAAAAGCTGGAGAACTCCCAAGTATACCCAGCGTGAAAAAACTACACCAGGCCGGAATTAAGTTTCGTGAGGAATCAAGCTACCACTTATTCGCGATACAGTTCCATAATGGAACTCTGAAAATTCCAAAACTAGAAATACATGATGACACAGAGCTTATACCCAGAAATCTCATTGCCTTTGAACAATGCCATTGCACAGACAATTACTTAAGCGATTATGTTTTCCTCCTGGATAAATTTGTAAACACCAAAAGGGATGTAGACTTGCTTGTTGAGAGTGAAATTGTTGTAAACACACTAGGTGACAACAATAATGTTTCTAATATGATTAACAAACTTTGCAAGGGGGTTGCTCCGCACCAGCGAAACTTATATTTTGGTGGTCTTGCTGACGATCTAAACAATTACTGCAAGAAGTGCAGGAACAGATGGCTGGCATATTTGAGCCAAAAGTATTTCTACAAACCCTGGGCAGCTTTTTCTTTCTTTGCAGCGGTTACTCTTCTCACACTCACTGTCATACAAACAGTGTTCGTTATTATCTCTTTTTATCGGCAGTAAGCCTCTCCGTAGCCATTTTCCTCCCTATCTTTTTTTCGTTTTGTTTTGTTTTTAAGTATGTAAAGGAGTGGATCATCAGGGCTAGCTTTGTTTTCAATAAAGGTGTGCTATGTGCTTGTCTTAACATAGTGAGATTCATGCAAGTGTGTAAAACTGTTGCTAATAAGAGCTGTACTATTATTTTCTAAATGCAAGTGTGTAAAACTGTTACAGCAGGGAATAATCTAACAATTTAGAAAGGAAAATCGGTAGACACTGAAGTGATCGACAGTGCACTAGGCTTGTTGCTTAGGTCTTCACAACCCAAGCTGCTTTGTTCAGTTTTTCACATTTAATTTTTCAAAATAATCAGTTTCTCCAATATTTCCCTAATAAATATCAGTACATGGATTTAGAAAGTTGGCTTACATAAAAATATGGATTTATTATTTTCATAAATGTCAGTTTTTCACATAGAAAACTTGCTTGCAAACTCTAAATAATTAGGAATTGAATGGCTCGGACAAAAAAAAAAAAAAAAAAAAAAAATTGAACGTAGGAGCCATTCAATTCCTAATTATTTTAATACAAGTCAAACTTGACCCCAAGTCCATGCTCTGCCACTACACTCAGTTCCTAATTAATTCAATCTGGCTAAACGCATCTCACATAAACATATAAAACAAAAAAGTTGTTCCTTTTCTAATTGAAGTTTGAAGTTTGAAAAAAAAAATTATGTGGAAGAGTTTGAACTTGCAAGGTTAATTAGTATGATAGGAAGTTGATTTAAATTAGGAATTTCAGATAATTAATTGAGTGAGAAGCCATTATTAGACTTTCTCTTCTGATAATCGGTTTCTTATTCGCTCACCAGGTTCTAGCAGGAAGCTAATTTGGGGTCTCATCAAAGAAGGGATACTAGGAAAGCCTGTGAATATGTATGAAGTTGCTTTAAAAAAGTGCCCCTGCTAGCTAAGCTCATTGCCAAGCTCCTGAAATGAGCTGAAATATGTTATAATTGTATATAATACTAAACTGTTTCTCAGATATTTCTCTCATAAATTTCAGTACATGATATTGGAAACTTTTTTAAAGATAAATATAGGGAAAAGAGCTTGCGTTGGCCTCAGTCCCCCCATATGTCTCTCTACTCTGTCCATATCGTCCCTTTCTTGAGCTTATAAGCCTCCACAACTTTTGTTTTGGTTGGTCTGCCTCCCACTACTTCTTGAATACAACAGGAACAAGTCCATTTTATTCCAGAAGTTGCGAAAATTTATTTTATTCCAGTATTTTAATTATTTTATTTTTATTGTTATATTTAATTATTTGTTTTCATGTCAATAATTTATATTTAAGAACCTGAAGTTCCTAATATGACCCGAAGTTCAAAAAATTTACAACCCAAAGTTCTAATTATGTCTAATCCAAACTATAAGTTTCGGCCACATGTGCATTAAAATAGGTCAATTCTAGAACTTGAAGTTCTAATTGTGTCAATTTCCAAATTGATATTTCAACAAGTGCATGTGTATTATGATTTTGGGCTGAAAATATACATCATGTTAAGAACATGAAGTTTCCACATTATTTGGATTTCATGTTTTCTAATTTTTTTTTTCATTATTGTTTTATTTTATTATCTTGAACAATATCATATTAATACAAATTTGAACATGAAGTTCAAAACCAAATATTCTTTTTAAAATTGGATATATGTACTCGAACCTGAAGTTTTAGATAAGATATATCCAAAGTTCATAATTTTTATTAAGATTAATATTAATATGAACCCGCAGTTCATACCTTGTCAAGAACCTACAACATAACATATACATTTTTATTAATAAAATTTATTGTTTTTAATTTAAACTTGTAGTTTAAAACAGAAGTATTAAAACACAAGTATTAATAACTTTTTTTTAATTATCATTATTAAAGCAATTTGTTGGTACATATAGCTCATCATTGTGCTAGTAAAATTGGAGAAAATTCTACCTCAAACCATCTCCATTGAGCTTTTACAGTCGGCTATCAAACACAAAACAAGCTTAGTTAGAGGTGTATTTTAATCACTTCCGTATATCTTTTTTTTTTAAATTAAAAAAAAAGAGAAAAAAAAGGAGAAAAACATAGGAAAACATGGGAGAAGAGCTTGCATTGCATACTTGTGGTTTTCTTTCTTTGGCACGTGCAACTGGATCTAAAGAACCAAAAAGAAAAATAAAAAAAAGAAGTATGAATGTTAGGTCTGTGTCGCTGTTTGTCTTATTCTTGTCAACCCAAGTCCATATGCTGGTCTGCGCCATATGTGTTTGTAGCGAGGAAGAGGGTAGATAGAAGATATTAATTCAATCATGGAGCTTCTTCCTATATATAGCCCATCATTGAGCTTTTCATTTCCACAACAAAAAGAAGAAGAAAAAATCATTGAACCCATCATAGCACGTGCAAATTCCCTTCCTTTTTTGTTTTTTATTTATTGTTTT